GGGGGGGGAGAGAGAGAGAGAGAGTCACCATTATATAAGTAAGTCCACTCTGACTGTTTCCAGATTCCAGACACTAATTCAGTTCCTCAGACGATCACCTGAGAGGAGGAAAAAAATCCTCCAGCTGAGAGGAGAAAGAAGAGGAAAGTACAGGATTGGCCTTCCCATCCACCCCTGCACTTTTCTTTTCTTTATCTCTTCAACTGATTGGCGCTGCAGATCTCAGCTGGTGTGGGGAAAGCTACGCACTGGTGTTAGGCAAAGCATGCCCAACCAAGCCACACCCACCGAACCAGTGGTAAAACAATTTGAATCCCACCACTGGTTCCATTACCCATCCCATGTGGAAAGGGATCAGAAGTGGCCATTGATAGGAAGGCTACAACTAATGTTTCTCCTTTATTAGAGGCTATAACTACTTGGAAGGCAGTGGGAACACCAGAAGGCAGCTTTAAGCTCAGGAAAGGTGTCCTGTGCTAGAATTTTGTAGGTGTGGACTGCCCAGTTTACAGATTCTATGTTTTCTTAGTAGATATTTGAGTTAAGACAGGATTATAAACATTTCTTAGTTATATTTTCTTGTTTGTTTGTTATGTTCTGTATGAGTGCTGGGTTTACCATCTGTGACAGAACATTGGTTGGCTACCTAAATTAAATAAAGATATGCTTAGAGGATTTATTCTTTAAATTTGAGTCACTTGTTGAGATGGGAGGCTAAAGAAATCAAACAATAAAAATAAATTTATAAATATAAATTTAATAAATGAATATGTTTATCTGTAAAATGTGTCCTTGTTAGTGCTGGGCTGAATGAGAATTCTTAGTTTCATAACATCTTAATCTTGGGGATCTTTCAGATTAAGAATAGAAAGAAATCAGATAAGATACTTAGCCTTTATCTTTTGGAGACAGTTGGTAAGGTAGACTCTTTAGTATGTACAAGTAACAGTTTAATACTTTATACGTGTAACTCATTTAAATTACAAGCGTGAAATATTCTAATCAATGTAAGCTTTTGGTATATTTGGTTTTGGGTGTGTCTGGTTTGTAATGATGCATTGCATCTTTTCTCCCAGATTAGAAAACATGGAATATACTGTATATGAATTCATAACTAGGGACCTTTGTAGCATGCGGTCAGCATTTTTTTAGATATGCAAATAAGGACACATCACAGCTTTTTCTATCATTTAGTGCAATAAGATATTATGGTTGGTTGCACAGTCAGCCAAATGTTTAAATTGCATTTGGTATTTTTGTCCTCCTATCAAGTCCTTCCCAGATAGGCAGAATGTTGTTATTTAATCATATAAAAGGTGCCGGCTTAGGATGTATATCGTTCTGGGTAAAGCTGCTTTTTGCAACTGACTGGTGGTGACTTTGTCAAAGCTTGTGTTATTCCAGATGTTTTGGTGATGCTCCAGGTATTTTGGTATTGCATTGAAGGCATTATTATTAATCTGTCCAAAACAGCTGAAGTCACAGATGCTAGATCTTTAGCTAGTGTTGGCCTTCATGTGCATCAAGTTATTCCCAAGAACCTAGGATGTTGTAATGTATCAATCAGTGTAGTCTATGTACAGATCCAAGCAATTTGGCTTTTTACAATTGATAGATCGACAGATTTTCTAAGTATTGTCCAAGATTTTTGGGTATGACATTCAGTGTATCAATAACCACTGGGGCTACAACAGTCAATTTATGCCATAATTTTGATTTTTGGATCTCAATATTTTGTAATCTCTAATTGTTTTAAAGTACCATTCCCTGGTATTGCCACATCAATTATCCCCACCAGGGGTGGGATTCAACTGGTATTACTACCAATGCAGTGACCAGATGCACACTATACATGCATGAAAAAAAATCTTAAGCTGTGCCGTCCGGAGAGCTGAAAAGCTCAGCGCGCAGGTGCACAGCGTTTGAAAAGCCTCTTTTTTCCTGCTTTTTCAACCTCAGCTGTGCCGTGCAAAACAGCTAAGGTTGAAAAAGCAGGAAATAAAGGACAAGTAAGAGGCCGGTCAGTCAGGTGGACCAAACAGCAGCAAACACAGAACTGGTTCTGTGTCTGCTGCTCTTCAGAGCTACCGGTTCAGAGCCGGGCAGAACTGGTAGCATCCCACCCCTGATCCCCACACTTTCTTCCTTTCAACCACAGATATATTTGGTATCTTAAGTCAAGGCTTTATCAGTCTTGTAATTCAGAAATCCCACAATACTTTAACCGGCTCACTTCAACTACTTTTTCAACTCATCAGTTTTTCAGTTCTCATCAGTTTTTTATTACTGGCATATGATAATTTTTGCAGATGTTTCAATGAATCATTTTAGTGATTGTGTTATGTCACATTATTATGGTTTGTCACATAGAAGGTTAGACTGAATTTGGCTTTTTTGTCCACCTATCAAGTCTTTCCCAAAGACCTGGGATAGGTAGATGTTGTTTAATGGTATTGTTGCAGAATCTAAGCCAGGGCTGTCATGTTCTGGCCATGCCCCTGCCTAGTTTAGTGAAGGGGGAAAAAGTCCCGATATATCACATGACACCATCATGATGAGGCAAGTTTGACACCCCTGATCTAAGCTGTTCTTAAAGCTGCCTTTGCAATTCAATGCCAGTGGTGCTCCAGTCATTTTGAGATTGCACCCAAGGAAGATGCCTGTTACTATTGGTACTATCTTTGCTTTCTTTTGACACAGTCGTTCTTTTTCTACTTTGTGATTTCCCACCCACCCCCCTTTCTTTCTCTTCTAATCTGCTGTCTCCAAGTACTGCCACATTTACTATCCAGACTTTTCTGTCTTTCTTACACACAATTCTAAATCTAGGGTATTATGTAAGAGGGGCCTGTCTATTTAAATTCTAAAGTCCCACAGCACTTTAGCGACTTCATTTTCTATTACTTTGTTTACTTATAGTCTCATTAGTTCTTGTGTGCAAGCAAATGGGTTTTCTTGCAGATATTTCAATGCACAATTGTAGCTACTTTGTCATGCCATTGCTTATAGTCAATCTGTGAAATGTTCTTGCAGCAGCTGATTAGGTGAACTACTGTTTCTTCAGCTTCTTTGTAGAGATGACATTTGCTGTCAGTTATTATGTCTCAATGCTGGCTTTGTACACATTTGTTCTTAAGGCTTGGCCTTATGCAACCAAAATTAGCCCTCTGTCTCTTTCATCAAATCTCCTGCTCTTAACCATTGCCTGGGCTTGCTATCTGCTTTGCCTGCTATATTTTTTTTAAATATACTGGTCTTGTAATACTTTGCCTTGCCACATCTCTTTTCTTGTAGGAAAATATAGATTAGAATTTAGTAAGCCTTCTTGGTATACCAGCTTCAATGCATCTTCTTCATTGTCCTTCAGATATTCTTCCAATGATCTTTTTTAATTCTTCAACTGTGTGCTATACTTGCAACATTTCACACCCACCAAGTCTCCTTGGTAAGTAGAGTCTGTCAACATTGCTGCTTGAATGAAAGGCATGATTCATTGTCATTATATTTCTGGTCTTCCTGTTCAGAGTTTTAGTTCCCCTCAAGTCCAGATTCCTATTCCAGCTATGTATCTAATGACTGGAATTGCCCAAGTGTTCATTGTCTTGATGGTATTTCCTCCACTGAGTGTGGACTTTAAGATCTTCTTCAGTATTCATTTCTGACCTTTTTCTTGACTTCATCATGCTTGATATTGTAAAAGGATGTCCAGGTATTTGTAGTACTCATCTTCATCCAGACTCCTGATGTTATTTTCATAGGGCATCTTTCTTCCTTCAGTTTTCACTATTTTTCCCCTGTTGATGATGTGGATGACACATTTTTCTAGTCCAAACTCCATTGCAATATCTTGGCTACATATACAGATAATGTTGAGCAACAATTCTATTTGAGATGCTTCTTTTTTGATACAGCTTCAGAACATCCATCTAAAGGAAATGGGATAGCCTGGCAGATGTTTTTGATATTTGATAGACATAGTCTGAAATATTCATATCATTGACAGGAATCAATGCAATGACAAACAGTAATAGTGATAATGAGTTTGACTGAAATATTTTTATCTTTATATTAGCTTTTCTGAAACTATCACCATTTACCAGCATTTTTGTTTTTCATTGTGTCATTGGTTTTTGCACAAAGGTTATACTGAATCCTGTTATTTCTATAATCTCGCATGTATCATTAGTTGGACTCATTAATATTGAGCTTCATAATCCATCACGATTTTGATCAATCAAGGTTTTCTCATAATGATTTATAGCAACATATATAAACCTTAAAATATGTTAGTTGCCCCTGAACGTTATGTTACGTATCATGTAATACCTATAGATTTGTTCAGTTATAAAAGTTTCACTAGTAGAGAAATCCATTTAAACATTGTCCTTATTGAAAGGCATATTGCCATATTGAAAGACTAGAAGTTCCATATATTCACACACACTTTTTTCAATATCTTTAAAGCAGGAGCAGTTCTTGTTATGAATGATGCTCTTTGAGTAATCAGGTCTTCTTTACTATACCATTTGAATTTGGGGGGGTTTACCTTTTTTATGCAAGCATAGAAATTTTCCTAACATAATTCCACAACTTGCTATAATAATTAGGATTTAGTTAGAAAGCATACTTCAGGATTAGAATCTTAAATCCCGAGTAGCAAAAATGTGCTGTACCCAGCTTTTTTAAAAAAACAATTAATGTTCATTCTCTCTTCCTTGCATTTATATCAAGACTTTCTATTAATTGGTTTTCATTTACTTTTTACTCTTAGAATAGTCAATTATCAAATCTGTTGGGCTGTTTTCCATATCCGTATTAGCAAAGAAATATAAAATAACTAGAAACTCTGTTCATGATTAGTTGAGGTATCTTCTTTTGTGTGATTTTTTTTTTTAATTGGACAGACGGTAACAGTGAAACACACTAAAATCACTATACTTTTAAGTGAATGAATGTTTATTATTCTAACTTCATTTGTTTTTTTATTTTTGTTTTTTTAGGAAAATGGTGTAGCAAATGGAAGTATCTATAAACGACCATTTAATGAATCCTTTGAACAACCACCCATGTATGTTTCTGTGCTTACATTTCTTGGTTTTGTATTTGCAACATTGTTTGGCTATTTGCAAGATTTCTTAAGAGACTATGGAATACAAACAAAGATTGGCACAATCGAACGGGAAGAGCAAATGGTACGTAAAATTTGAACCTGTTTGAACAATCCCAAGTTACTTCTCAAGAAGCATAACAGAATGGAAAAGACAAAAGACTGAAACAAATTAGGCCTATTGCTTTTCCTGTAGATGACTTGTACAAAATGGATAGTAAAATATGTGACTATGGAGTATTTCCTAACAGTGATTGTGGCTATTATTAGATTTCTTGCCCCCAATTCTAAAAACAAAAGGCACAGTACCTGTTAGAAGTTTAGGATTAACACTCATCAGCCCAAACTTGTACATCAATTACAATTGTTTAGGAAGACAACAGTTGTAGTACAAAATCTTCTAAAAGCTGATCTGAATAGCTTTTAAATGCAATTAATAGGGAGGCACAAATTTGCCGGGTTTTCATGATTCTCTTAGGTAATGGAGCTGCTAAACTACAGATTAACAAAGTATGATTATTTTCTCATTACAGTTTTGAGGTGTTATGCACAAAGACAGGCTGTGCCAATTCCGTTAAAACACACACACACACACATCTGTCTTATTTATTTACATCCTATGTGGCTGGGAGGGAGCAGCATGGTAGTCTAGAGGGGAAGATGCTCTCCTCCCACTCGGAAGATTGAGAGTTCAATCCTAGGTAGCAGCAGATGTTTCTCTCCTGGGGCCCAAAGGAAAAAAAATCTGCTGCAAACTCCACCTAGGTGTCAGGAAGGGCATCTGGCCAGTAAATGCTCAGGCCCATCCAGTCATCCCAACTCTACTCTGAACAGGGACTACAGAGTTGTAAAAAGGGAGTTTTATGTGGCTAGCTGGAAAGGAAGCAAAATTATTTGCTTCCACATCTCAACTGAGAATTATAATGAACAAAGTGCTTCTCTGCAATCCAGCTGCACACCACTCAACCTGTGAGGCCACCCAGAATAGGCAGCCCAGTAGGAATATGCCCAGTTTGAAATTGTCAGATTGCACACTACAGAGAATCCTTTCCAGATTCTCAGAATTCACAAGTTCAAATATATTTCAGGCAGGCCTCATAAAATATAATTCTGATTACCTCATTAGGTTCTGTTCAAATATCATCCATTGTTGAGCAAATACGCATGGATATTCGTAGATTGTTAGTTTGTTAATTGTTTAGTTACACATCCAGATTAACTTCTGTTACAACAGCTTTCACATTTCCCATAATATGTTTACAAGAAAGACAGCTCATAATTTCATTGTGAGATTATCATTCAATCCAGTAAAGAATTTGATTAAGCAAAGATACATTTTTGATGCACAATAGTTTTCTTTGTTCTCCCCTTACCTCCAAAAACATTAAGTCTTGACCAACTCCATATGTTTTCTTTTATTTACAGAACTCATAGGCCATTCCAATCTACCAATACTGAGTGGCATATAACTCCCCAATAAGTGTTTTGTATTATGACCGTACAATCAGTTTAAAACTACATAATGCTTCTAGGGAAACAGGAAAAGCAAAATAAAGTATTAATGGTAATAATATGGATGTGATCTCACAATCCAACAGGCAATTATAACAATCCAACTCCGTGGCTATTTTTTCCTGTTTCCTAAAAAGCCAGGGAAAAAAATGGACTGAATGCACATCAAAAGCAATGTTGCTCCAAAGGGAGAGGGCACTGTCAGAAAAGTAATGTTTACATGGGCCCTAAAGGTGACATTTGCTACTTGTGAGAATGCGTAGCAAGACAACTCACACCTTGAATCGCATTCAGAAGCCAACTGCAACCAACAATACAGAGATTAGGGAATGGGACAACTCACTGCAGCCAACTCACCATGGCCAACTCAATGCGATACAACTTACTGCGAAAAAAAAATTAACAATTCTGTTTAATTATTTAAAATAAATTTTAAAAAAATTAATTTTTGCCATACACATTTCATTCTGTCCCTCCTTTTGCATCCTTTCTTTAAAGATTCTTTCCCACCATTTATTTGATATTAGTGTAACTCTTGTCCTGTAGCGAGTTGTCCTGCAGTGAGTTGGCAAGGGCAAGTTGGCCGTGGCAAATCGGCCGTGATGAATTGTTATAGATCCCCGATGCCTCAAGATGTACCTGTCTTTACCTAAGCCACTACATTCTAGTCCAGGGGTGGGCAAACTTTTTGGCTCGGGGGCCTCATTGACTTTTAAAATTTGACAGACGGGCCGGGTAAGCACAAGATATGATACATATAAAAAACTGCAAAATCTCCGCCAAATCAAGTCACTGCGCCTAATGTGCCACCTGGTGTCAAAATGCCTGTCATTACAAGTCAAAATCAAATGAATGCAATCATTCAATCATTCACATCAAACCTTAATTCTGTACCAATCTTCGGTGGGCCGGATTAAAAAGACCAACGGGCCGGATGTGGCCCGCGGGCCGTAGTTTGCCCACCCCTGTTCTAGTCCCTCTGTGGCTTCTGAATGCTCTTCAGGCAGCAACATGTAAAACTCCTTGCAGCAATCCAGTTAACTGAGGCATGAGCAGTGATGAGTAATGCTATTTCAGGAAAGGTTGCAATTGGAGTACAAATTGATGATGTGCAATGTCCCTTATTCCTGAAATAGGAGCTATAGATCCAAGACAATTCTTAAATTGTGAATCAGCAACTACAGTCAAAGTTTACAATTGACTCTTGCTAAAATTGTCAGATTTTTGAAACCAAAGCCACTCTATTTTGCTGAGATTGAGTCTCAGTCTATTCCTTCCAGTCCCAGATCTCCTTAACAATGAGCACCACAAATACATAGTATATAGTTATGTGGGTGTTTTTTTTTCTTATAGGAAATGCACCTTCTCTAAATATGATTTGCTTTTCTGGCACCATTAACAGACAGGAGGAGAAGTACAGTAATAAAGAAACATTCAATCTGGCATTCAGAGTTCAGGGATGGATATTATACTTCTACATGATAGCTGCAGCAAAATAAGAGTATCTTATGTGCAGTCGGAAATGCACATATATTAATTAGGTTCCTGGTTTTTAAATCTCCTTTCTGTGAAAAAAAAAGTTATTCCATTGATCTAGTGGGTTTCTTCTTTCACTATTTCTTAACAAACGGGGCAGAAGTTTGATAGAGGTGAACTTTTTAATTTTGTAAAGTGCTTTTTAGTCTTTCCTCATTTGCTGGATATATACATATATATGTTACCAGCAATGTGCGAAAGCTGGGCAGCTTTGCCTAGGAAATATATAGAATATGTGATGTTGGATGCAGAATGCTTAGGAAAATGTATAGAATATATGATGTTTTTAGGCAAAGAATGAAATATCTGTCTTATTTTAATGTGCTGCACACTTTCTCTAGGCATTGTATATAATAACTAGGCATTATGCAGAATGACAGGAAGTTAAATTAATTAAGTTAAACAGAGCCTGAGATTGCTAAATGGGAGTTTGAACTCAGGATTTTCAGATCTAATTATGACAGTGTAGGGATTGAAAGACATATAACCATATCATGCCCTATGTGTTTATGTCGCCTTGTATTAGTTTTCCCAAAAAGATGAAAATGTAAGAATTGAACTAAGATTGGCTATAAGAGATCTGTAACACATAACAGTTATCTAATTTTAATAGTTACTTAATTTTAATAAAAAGTAAGCAAATAGTAAAATGTAACATGACAGGGTTTTTTTTTTCTTTAAAAAAAACATTTAGGATTTTGTCCCACTTTATCAAGATTTTGAACACTTTTTTACAAGAAACTTCTATATGAGAATAAGAGATAATTGGAACCGCCCCATCTGCAGTGCTCCAGGACCAAAATTTGACCTGTTGGAACGTGTTTCAGATGACAGCAACTGGACATTTAGGTGGGTCAGTCTACAAAGCGTTTTTAATTAATATAAATAAAACTGTGTTTATTCTTTAACATCAAAGCATTATATTTATAGGCCTGATTTTGTATCAGTTTCAAAGTTAGAACCTACTCCTTGTATACTCTTGGCCAAAAATTAGTGGTGGTGTTGCCTTCTTCCTGATGAGTGATTTTCCATTTACTTGGTGAAATTGACATTTGACTTTCATTTTGATCTTTTTCTCCAAACTTAACAAAAGGTGGCTTACCATTCATTTTATTTTTAAAAGTTGTTAGGAAAGATAGGAACTTTTATTATCCCTTTCCTCTTCTCCAGTCTGTGGCATTTGTAGTCCATTATTTTTCCAAGGAAGACAGCAGGCAGAGAGAAAGGCAAAAGAGGAATGGAGGAATGTCTATATATTGAAGTTGTCAAAGTGCTACACAGGTTTGAAACCTGAGCTATCCCATATTGACTACTATGAAAAACCATGTGCTCTTTTTTTTCTAATGGGGAGTACAATACACCCCCTCCTTGTTTTGTGACCGAGTTTCATTCCAATGACCTGGTTGTTAAGCAAAATTGTCACTAAGTGAAGACATGACTGAAAGAGAGAGAGAGCTGCCACAAAGATCCCTGGTTGCTACCATCTCATTCAGTCATAAAGTTTCTCAGACAACTGTGCCCGCATTGCTTTCATATCAGGTATTCGAAAACTGCTTGTAAATGGGTGCATTGGAAAATGAATTTTATTTATTATATTTGCAAATGATTGCCAAACATGATAGTCACTAAACAAGGAGTGAGTGCACATACAAAAAGAAGAGGATATGTATGGAAATGTGAATCTATACATCACCAGAACTCTAATTCCTGAAACCTTCAACTGGATTGAAACAATGCACCATAGAGTAAAATGTTTTGAACTTCAAATAGGCTAACTTATAGAATGTATTCAAAATCTGGGACCCATGACTCCTGTGGAATTGAAATTTGGCAAATTTTATAAAACATTTCATGACATAAACTTTATCATAAAGTGGTTTATGACATAATACAGAACGTCAGAAAACATTTCCTGTTGTGATATTTGACTGTCCTATATATTCAAGGTAAGCTATTGTTGAAACATCTCTGAATATTTGTTTTTGTAGATTTTCACAGGTAAAGGTATGCAGGTCTTGGCATGTTCGGGTCTTTTCCTGTGTAAGATTGAGAGTATCTTGACGACATTTCGATGAGGTCCCACTCGCCATCTTCAGGCTGGTGCTTTCGGCTTCATGCTCGTGCAAACAATTTGCTCGCACAAGCACGAAGCCGAAAGTACCAGCCTGAAGATGGCGAGTGGGACCTCGTCGAAACGTCACCAAGATACTCTCAATCTTACATGGGAAAAGACCTGAACACGACAAGACCCGCATCTCTGAACATATCCCAACTTTTCCAGTGAAGGCAGCACATTAGAAACTCTGTCATTGTTGGAGGCATTGAGGAATCTGGTAAGATGACCCCACAGGACCTGGATTATCTAATAGTAATTTAAAGTCAGAAATGATGATCTGAAGGATTGTTGAATATTGTATAACCTCTATACTCACAAAAAGGGACATGTTCAAGCAGAGAAGGAAGGATAGTTCAAGGAGTTTTCCAATAGCAGTAGGTGAAAGGATACCACCATTTGGGGCACTGTTTCTTGTCTGATTTATCTCATTGTTGCCACTTAAAGTTAATTCAGGTTGCTGTAAATATTTTATTACAAAAGCACTTTAAGCATCTTATAAAATACTACTTGTGCTGACACCAATAAAGGCATATTTGAGCACAGTCTGGGTCTATATAGAAAGTTGTGATTGTCTTATACTGCTCTTTTCCTGATATATGAGGTGAGATAAGTCTTTATTGTGGTCTTTGATTAACATGTTTGTGTTTGCATGTGTGTGTACATACAATAGATCCATAAAATGAATTAATTTTAAGATGGCAATTAAAAGAAGTTGGGGGGAGGGAGGGGAGAGGAAAATTTAGAGATATGAAAGAAAGCAGTTTTATTGGATAATATTTGCTGCTTCATACTTTCCTAAAATGAAAAACCTCCTTCAGCCTTGGCTGAAGAAAAGATTATCTGAATAGATTTAGGAAGGAAGGAGGATTCCAGTCTCCTGGTATTAACTGAATTTTAAAAAAGATTTAATTAATTAAAAAGTCTTTTATTAATAATTAGACTTTATGTTGTTATACTTTCTTTGACCATTATAGGTTTACTGGAAGGATAATCAAGAATGTAATCAATATGGGTTCATATAATTACCTTGGCTTTGCAGAAACTGACCACAATGCTTTGAAAACAGTGAGTTCAGTGTTAAATAAATATGGCACAGGAATTTGTAGCACCAGACAGGAAATGGGTAAGTTAAAATTATTATTATTAAAATCTGAGTCTAGAAATCTAATTTAGAAATATACTGTAGATTTGACTTCTTAATGAATTTTATTCATTAACACATAATCCTATAGAAATTCATTTGGGTGGCTGCTCTTATGCTTATTTACCTAGATACCCAACCACCCCCATAAACAACTACCTGTTGCCTAACCAGAAACTGTTAAAGTATGAGTAATTATTGCTCAGCTAAAATAGCTCATGTATAGGATTGCCTGGATTATAATCTTTGAATTCACTTTAAAGCTTTCAAGAATAGGAGAGTGGTTTTGCTTGTTCAGCTTTAAAATTGTATTTCAATTAAACTTCATTTAAAAGCAAGATTGGTGTGAAGAGCTGTTAATACCGGAAGTTAATTTCATTTTTATTCAAAAGAAGTAAAACTCTACTTGGCTGTTTTCCCTGTACTCCCTTAAATCTGACATATTATAGCATAATGCAACATAGTGATTCTTTCGTGTAATGCAGTCACACATTTTTCCCAAAACAGATTATTATAATGGCTAAAACAGAGAAGGTGAAAGAATAGTTGAGTTGAACCCTTACGTACCTATTCATTTATTTCGTGATCTGGCCCTTGTTCAAGGATATTTTTCATCAGCCTGGAAGTCCCTCATCTATTAACATGCACACAATCGAATGGAGGATTCTAATTCTATCTCAAGTTGTGCTCAGTTGTAGTTCATAGCTATATTTATGAAGGTAGCAGCAATTTTTTAGGCAGAAGCATTGTTGTATGTAGAGATCCAATAATGTGTTACACTCATGATTGAAAGGATAGCCTCTTTGTCATCAAAGAATTCTGAACAGCTGTTGTTATCAGAGTAGGTTTTTCATCCTTCAACACACATGCATACATACTCACTAATATATATAATTTGAATGATTAACACAGTTAATGAGTGATTTACAGATTAACATAGTTTATGAGTGGATACAAATGTATATTAAAATAACCACATAGATAAAATGCCTATAATTAGTAGTATAATCAAAGCAACTGGCATGCCTATTAATCTATGCAAAGGCTACATAATTAATGTAATGTCCCTCCATATGTTGAATTGTAGCAATTGTTATTTGGCTTTAATGTTCCCAAGTTACATGATATGCTAGGCACTCAGGGTAATGATAGGCAAGCTGTTGTCCTCCAGATGTTTTGGTTTCAACATAGCCAGTAGCAAGAGAATGTGGGAGTTGTAATCTCAAACATCTGGAGAACAACACCAAGTAGTTTTAGTAGTCTAAGTGCTAATCTAGTGCCGTATTTTTTGGAATATAAGATGCTCCGAAGTATAAGGCGCGCCTAGCTTTTAGGGAGGAAAACAAGGGTCAAAAATCTGCCTCTGCCTCCCAGCAATTTGCCTCCTTGCAGCAAACAGCAAACTGCCTGGTCAGCTTCAGCATAGCCTGATTTAGCACAAACAGCTGATTGTCAATTAGATCAGCCACCAACCTGTTTCAGGCTGCAGGGATTGCCATCTCATATTGCCATCTCTGTGAGCCCCATTTTCAGCCTCTGCATCCCGTTTTCAGCCTCCACACGCCCCTTCAGCCTCTGTGCACCCCATTTTTGGCCCGTTCTGGGTGGCAGGGATAGAAACAAATGGAAAATGGGGTGCATGGAGGCCAAAAAGGGGGCTCACAGATGTGGCAATAAGCGATGGCATCCCTGCAGCCTGAAATAGGTTGGTGGTCGATCCAGCCGACAATCAGCTGTTTGTGCTAATCAGGCTGTGCTGAAGCTGACCAGGCTGTTTGCTGCAAGGAGGCAAATTGCTGGGAGACACAGGCTAAAGGGTGGGGGCCGAAGGGTTGGTGGCAACATTTGCTGTATAAGACAGACATTCCCACCCACTTTTAGGGGTGGGAAAAGTGCCTTATACTCCAAAAATTATTTTAAGCCTGCATTATAGCTGAGATTATCCAATGAAATTATTGGCGGTATTGTTTCTGTGGAATGTTCATTTTGTTGCACTCTTCTCCTTTTTGTAGAGGATGTTTGTTTGTTTCTTTCTTTTCAGTCTTCAAACATTTTCAGTTGCACTTCTTTTTATCACTTTGCTATTTATCTTAAAGTAGAGATTAGAATACAGGTGCTTTAATTGTAATATGATTCATATTTTCCCTATAAGAAACATAGCACTTTTAATTATAAATTTTAGAATGAAGAATTTTTAAAATTGTCAGTGTTAATATGTGAAAGTAAATAAATGTTCATTACAGTTTAGTAAATGTTCATGAATGATATGAATGAGATCCTTTAAAATATTTTTTGCTGTTTATAACAGGAAACTTAGATAAACATGTGGAGTTAGAAAATACGCTAGCACAATTCCTTGGTGTTGAATCAGCTCTGACGTTTGGTATGGGATTTGCTACAAATTCTATGAATATTCCAGCATTAGTAGGGAAGGTAAGTGAACATCCTTCCAAATAAGTTTGTTGTGATCATTGCCCATGAAATTTAAGATCATTGGAAAGCTGTCTCAAGGCAAGCTGTTGTTTTCTTTAGCAAAAGCATCATAAATTGCAATCAGCTCTTTGGAAGCCATGTTTTCCTTAATGTTCATAAACTATATTTCCTATATATTTCCTATTTATTTTACTTCTCCACATATTTTGCATTAAACATAGTTGATTTAATAATTAACTTTTGCTTCTGAAACTGTTGGTTGAAGGAGCACATATTAGGATAACCACTAGGAACTTTTTCTCCTACTTAAATACTGCTGAACTAAATACAATTATACAACAGTGGACTAATTTCATTTGGCCAGTGTTTAAGATAGGTTTCTGGTATTTAACATAAATGAAACCATTGGTGTGTTATAATAATTTTAATTATACACATAGTAGAATAGTGTTGTCAAACTGTTCATTTGCTTTTATGGGGAATCTGTATGATTCAAGAATCAGACTATTAGAAAATAGACCTGATCCTTTCTTAAATTTGTTATTAATGAGTTAATACTGCAGTCAATAAGTATTAACTTATAATGTTGATGATAAATATAGTTGTTTAAAAAAATCATAGTGCCTATAATTCCATCAAGGGACTGTACTAAAGGCTTCATTTTTAAAAAACAAAATATATGTGTTTCTTGAATATGGTTGCTGAACTTATTTTTGTAAGTCTGTTTAGGATTATATAATTAGGAAAATGTCAAACTACTACTTGAATTGGCATTAATTCAGAAGCATTCACACAATCATGAGTTCATCAAAATGACTAAGCAGGGATTATAACAGTGAAATATTCATATTGTCATTCATTCCCCACCTCTTGATGCCTTTGTTTTGTCTTAAATCCAGAAAAACAAGAGATGCATTTTCTGAGTCTTCTTTCTTATCTCTGTCCAAAACAAAAAAGACTAATTTAAGTTGATAAATAGTACATTCTCCTCCATGCTGCTGCGAGAGCCCAGGATGGGTATGTCTCCTCCTGATGACATCACCAAGCTGGGTCCGTCTAGTATAAAAGTAGCAGCCTGTGGGAGAAACCCCCCAGCTTTGACTCAGCTTCTTTCGATGACCATAAACTGGTGTCTCTGAAAGCAGTTTGGTTATCAAAAGCAAAAGCTATCTTCATCATTGGCATCCACTCTTCTGCAACGCCGAGGATTCAACGTTTTCTTCAACAGAGGGAGACTGTAAATAGGGATTAACCCTTGATCCTCCCCCACAGTCTTCCCTCAGCGATTTCGGCCTCCACGATTGTAAAGATCGCATCTGCGATAACAGCGCCTCTCAGCTGATCATAAATTTTCACTTTATTGCCGATTTCGCCATTCGGGGCTGTTTACAGCCTAAGGAGCAATTTAACCCCTGCGTAGCGTGTAGCTCTTGCGAGCGGCCAATTTGGAGGCTTCTTCGACCGCACATGGTGAGTGGCCATTTTGAAAGCGTCTTCTTCTAAAGAAAGTAGCAAGCGGCCATTTTAGGTGGCATCATCCCCCAAAGGCCAGCTTCTACTATTCATAAGCTCCTATTCAGGCTACTGCATCGACAACACATAGTGAGGATCGTTTCAAGCACCTTTGCGTCAGTTTATGCATACTATGGATCAAGACGAGGCCCACACAGAGCCTTCAGGCCTGATCTCTCAAGGCCTCCAAGCTGGCAAAAGAAAGAGAAGGAGACAACGCTCCCAGTCTGTTCAAAGGGAGATGGTGGCCAAGATTAGGGCCAAAGCTTTGGGCCCTAAGAAAACATTCCAGGCCGAATTAAAGGCAGAGAAACAAAGGCATGCAGCCTTAGAAAGGCAGTTCAACAAAACTATTGAGTAAATGAGGGTTCAGCTACAACAGGCTTCCCAACCAGCCAATCCTCTTGTTGTTCAGCCAGCTACTTCTAGGGAGAGGGAAGATACCTCAGCTCCTCTTAGCCACCTCCAATCCTGGTCCCCAGAATGACCTGAAATCCAACCAGGACCTCATGACTTGAGAATGTCAGGTCCCAACTTCGCCCAGACTCCTTGGGATCTTTCTTCTTCATCTATCCCATCCATGGCCCAAAGCAGCTCTTGATCAAGACCCGAGGCCACTTTTACTCCAACAGCAGCAGGTCTTCGGCCCCCAGATCCTCCATCAAGTGGCAGATCTTCTGACATCAATGAAGTAGTCTCCTTAGCCATCAGACAGGGTCTTGCAGAAGGGCTTCAACACATCTTCAGGCCTTCAGACAGACCTCAGCCTTCCTTCCCAGCTTTTCCTCTAGTGCAGATTCCCCAAAGGGGACTACCTCACCATGTAGTACAAAGGGCCCATCTTTCCTATGCGGAAGGAGTGGACCTCACTCAGGGAGAGTATGAGGAATCATCAGAGCGCAGCCCCTCCCCTGATTCTGATCTGGAAGAGGGAGAAATCTGGGACCCCAACCTCAGGGGAAAGAGGAAGATCTGAGGCCTGATCAGCCTCCTTCGGCTTCTGTATTCAAATCTGCTTTATTCAAGCCTCTCCTACACAAGGCACTGGTAACAGCCCAGTTGTCAGCGGAGGAAATTGCCCCCGAGCCTCAAGTGGTACAATTGGGGCATGGGGATTCCCTCTTCTCCAAGCCCATTGTTCATTCAGAGGTCCTTCCTTCCCACATCATCTTTCTTGACTTAGTCAATGAACAATTTGCCTTCCCCACTGCAGGACCCCGCCCATCGTCCCAAGATAGGCGGTTCTACAATGTGGTTCCTTCCTTAGCTACAGCTCTGGCAGTTCCCCCAGTAGACGCCCCAGTTGTGGCCTCCTTCTCCTCAAGCACTCCAACTGAGCTTGAGGACGTACTAAAGGCAGAGGACAAACGTTCCGAACAAACACTGAAGCATAACCATCAAGCCTCGGCTTGGGCCATCCTGGCCTCGACTGCTGCATCATTTTTTACAAGGTCTTCCATCCACTGGCTATGCCAACTTCAAGGCCGCATACCTCCATCAGACTGTAGGTTGCATCAAGACCTCAATAAGATCATAGCAGCAGCAGAATTCTTGGCGGACACCACCCTCAATGCCGCCAAGTTCTCTTCCAGGGCCATGGCTGCTATGGCTATGAAATTGGCAAGTGGAGCCTCGCCGAGGCTCATGCATAGGCATCGTTCCGTGGGCACGGCTACACTCATGGGCTCTACAATGGTTCCTGCTCCCCTTTCAATGAGCAGGAACCAGCCACACATCTGCCAAGGTCCTGCTCTCTCCAGAGGTCTGCCGTTCCTTCAAGTGGTGGCTTTCCTCAGCCCTTTCAAAGGGTCTCCCGTTCAAGGAACCGGACAGACTGATCATCACCACCGATGCAAGTCTCCTGGGTTGGGGAGCCCACATGGAGGGTCTCATGGTTCAAGGGATCTTGGTCCTGATTAGACAGGACTGGGCCCATAAACTGGCTAGAACTCAGAGCCATTTATCTGGCCTTGAAACATTTCAGGGACAGGATAGTGGGGTCCCATGTACTATAGTTGACAGACAACATGGCTGCAAAGGTGCACATCAACCGGCAGTGGGGCACAAGGTCCAGGGCCCTCATGAGGGAAGCTGAAAGTTTGGGGAGGTGGGCAGAGAGACATCTGCTGTCTATCACAGCAGACCACATTTCGGAAGTTGACAACTCCCAGGCCAATTGGCTGAGCAGGAGCACAGTCGACTACGCAGAATAGTCCCTTCCCCAGTCCATTTTCAGGGATCTCTCCCTCAGGTTCGGGACCCCGGAGGTAGACCTCTTCGCCTCTCCCCAAAACGCTCAAGAAAACAGATTTTTCACCAGATTTCCTTCTCAGGGAGCGGAGGGGACCAATGCACTTCGGAGCAGATGGCCCACTGGTCTCCTCTACTCCTTTCCCCCTCTTCCCATCATTCCGGCGGTCATTCAGAAGATGTTGGAGGAATGGGCAGATCTGATTCTCCTAGCCCCCCATTGGTCCAGGAGACCCTGGTTTGCAGATCTGGTGAACCTGTCTGTAGCCACTCCCTGGAGGATTCCAGACGACATGATCTCACTACATTAGGGGGCACTGCTCCACCTGGATCCCCAGTGGTTCAAATTGACCATGTGGTGTTTGAGCAGCAACTGTTAAGAGAAGCCAATCTCCCAGACCAGGTCATCCTTACTATCCAGGCGTCTCATAAATCTTCTACAACGCGTACGTACAATGCCACCTGGAGGGTTTTTTGTCATTGGTGTCACAGGGAAGGTCTCTCTCCTACAGTCGTGTGGGTCCCACAAGTCCTCTGTTTCCTACAGGATGGCCTTGACAAAGGCCTGGCTCCTAACACTTTATGCCGTCAAGTAGCGGCTCTTGCTTCAGTCATCTCCTGGGATTCCTTTCCTTCCTTGTCCCATCATCCTTCAGTTCAGAGATTCTTAAAAGGGGCTTCCAATCTCTGCCCTCCTGTGGTTCACAGTTTCCCATCCTGGGGCCTTCACAAGATCCTCCAGGCGCTAACAGAACCTCCCTTCGAACCCCTCAGAAAGGTGTCCCTTCAATTCTTGACCTTCAGGGTGGTTTTCTTAACAGCCATCACTTCAGTTAGAAGGGTGTCCGAGTTAGCTGCTCTATCTATACGGCAGGACCTCTGCACTTTTCACGACAATAGAGTTGTTCTTCGTTTAGACCCTACCTTTGTACCCAAAATAAATTCTGTATTCCACAGATCCCAAGACATAGTAGTTCCTGATTTTTGTTCCCGTCCACACCACGCCTTAGAGCGCAAGTGACACACCTTAGATGTTAGAAGGACTCTTAGAATTTATATCAAACGTACTTCAATGTTTAGGAAGACAGAGACTATGTTTATATCCTTTTCCCCTTCCCACTGAGGGAACAAGGCCTCTCCTGCCACCTTAAGCAGGTGGATCAGGGCTTGCATCGCACAGGCCTACAAAGCCAAAGCTCTGCCAGTACCACATGGCTTGACAGCAGACTCCACTAGAAGTGCTGCAACTTCGGCTGCCTGGGCCACCCAGGCACCCCTAGAGGAAATTTGCAGAGCGGCTACATGGACATTCCCGTCTCTGTTCATCAGACGCTACCCTGGATTCCTACACCTTCACAAGCGCGGCTTTTGGCAGATGGGTTCTTCAGTGAGTGGTGCCTACTTTGGAGTGAGAGACCAGACGAGGACCCTCCCGAGGACATGTAGGCTTTGGTATGTCCCATCCTGGGCTCTCGCAGCAGCATGGAGGAGAATGGGTGTTGGTAAATTTACCTGAGAACGCCCTTTCTATCTATGCTGCTAGAGAGCCCAGCCCCTCCCTTGTTGCGTCCGGATTGTGGTGAGGTATGTTTGGTTCACGATTCTGTTTTGGCTTTCAGAGACACTCACTAAAGTC